TTGCACTTATCTTTTTGTGGCTATGAAAAATGCCATGCATGGCTCTGTTTCTTTTTGGAAAGAAACTTCATATCTACGACAGCCAAAGAGTAGTGACTGGTTGTGTACGTAAACTAAAATCTAGAACTATTAATATGTACTCTACGAAGCTAAAACAACTAGTTCCAACTCAGAATCTAAAAACATATGATCCTGGCAATCTGACTATCTAGCTCAACAAGTAGTTGGAGAAGACTTAACTAGCTACTTGGACTGCTCAATTCTGATCAGACCATCAGCCCTGTTACAATAGAATCAATGAGAAAATTAACTCTGCACTATAGAAATGTCATGTCAGGCCCTGGTGTTTTAGGACCATTAACCTTCTGCATTAACAGCACACACATACATTGCTTGGTGCCTTCGCATAGCAGTAGATAAAACCACAAATCCATCCCACTGGAGAACTGACCGTAGCGTATTAGCTGGTAAGGTATCTTGTGGTGGGACCTGTCCTCTTAGATTCAAATCCCAAACTTAGCATGGGTGCTTGTTGATGGTCCTTAAATCATAATATTTGACCGTCAATACTTACATATAAATAAAACATGGTATCTCACTTAGTGGTAGATATTATTACTAATCATTTCCACTAGTGTAGGTGAAATATGCGTATGCAGGTAATTTGAGGAGAAACCACATCAGTCATGCGACAAAATGCACCTCCGCGCATTCAGGACGCGTTTACACGGATTGGAGGCCCAATAAGTCAATGAAAACCATTTAGGATTGGGCCAAAACAAAGCACAGGTTATTGGGGGCCCATTAAGCAATCTCCCGGCCGAAGAAGAGGCCGGGAGGAGTGTTTTTGGGTTCGGCCGAACCCACCAGTTCGGCCAAACCTGTTCTGGCGCTGTTGATCACCATTTTCCATGTGGACGGCCCTGATTACTTCCTGATGGCGATTCTAGGGCATTTTGGACATTTCGCATAGGCTGTAACCGTCATACCTGCCTATAAAAGGAGGAAGCTCACTCTCATTTCCAGTACACAACTTTGATCTGAATTACATGAGACTCTATTGTATCTTTTTTACATTAGAATAAGGTAGAGAGTGAAGGGAAGCTCTGGAGGAGTGCCCGGAAGTTTGGCGCCCTCTCCGACTTCTTTCTTAACGAGTGTAGCTTCCTAGGAGGAATTCTAGAGGAGTACCGGAGCTGTCGATACACTCTGCTCCGGGTTCGAAGAACTTCTTCTATAAAGTAAGCATTCGTGTTCCTTTCTTATATTATTTAATTACTTTGTCTGAGTAAGATAGATTTCCATCTTTGCGTGTACATTGTTTAGTATTCATACTAAGTGCTCTAGTACTAGGACTCTGGATAAAGAAGGAAGTTCATGTACAAGTATTAGAGTAGTAATTAATAACTTAGACGTGGTGTTTAGGTTAGAGATTACCTTTGTTTGTTGTGTATCCCACGGATTTGTCAGAGGTAGGCGGCAAGTGGTGACAGCCCTGAATCCCGTCCTAGTAATCCTCCACGTTTGGATACATCATAGAGCTATAGCCGGAACCACGCTAGCAGACCAGTAGGGGTCGGTGCCCGAAGCAACAGATAGGGAATTACCTTGCTTAGCGTAGATAATTAAAGCACATAGAAAGTCCTCTCTAGCCTGCCTGCCTATAGTTGTCCTTGGATTCTCTTAGCCTTAGGTAGATTACACACGTTCCCTGAGTTCGATATCCTTTTGGGGTCACCCGAAGGTGAAGTGCTACAGCGGTATTCCGTGTGCTTGCAGATTTATCTGTGGTCATAAGAAATACCAACAGTGCTCTTATTTATGACAAATTATTCTTTCAGTGGTAGTGGTAGGTGATATACCCCTCAACACCGAGACGTTATGCCGGTCTAATCTTCCAAAGTTGAGAATAGGATGGGCATCTTTCGAAAAAAAATTGATACCACTGAAATATAATATGTTGCATACACACAATTACTGTGGTTTTTATTTTGTGTTAAGTCTGATAAAGTTGAAAAGTCTTACACAGTTTACTACTTCCTCCATTCCAAAATGTTGCTACCTAGAATGAGATATGTTATTCATCCTAGAATAACTAATCTGAACAGTCCTAGCCTTCTAGGTAAGAACATTTTGGGACGAAGGTAGTAGAAACTGAAGAAGCTACGAAAAAAGAAATAATAGCATCTGTCTAAGGTATCATAGGCAACTTATAGGGTTAAGACATCAGGCACAATCCTCAAACTCGGCATTACCCTTGTCGGTTTCGGATAATATTTAAGAACAAAGGGTGAGTACTTCTGTAACGTCCCTAGTTTAATTTACCTTGAAAATAGATTAGCCTTGTGAAGTTGTGATGTGATTGCTTGTTTATGAATTTATGTGGCTGAATTAAAATTTACAACCAAATTTCAGTTAGAAGACAAGGCAATTAGAATTGAACCTTTCAAACTTTTGTTCTACGAAATACTAATCTAAAATTTCAGGAAATTATACCAAAAATAATGGATACCGTACCGCCAAAATTTCATGAATTTAGGATGCCGAGATCCACAAGTACTATACCGCTGACCTCTCTAACATGTGCCATCACATTATATTTGATAGATGGGATCCATAAAAAGAATAGCACCCATCCTCATCATGTACATGACCTAGAACAATTAATGGTTTAACAAGCACAGTGCCAAACTAGGACCAAAGGAGATGTTTAACATATGAGCATGTTAATGCCCTACCGAGGCATGCACCGCCTAATCATCAACTCGATGACAATGACCCAAAGCGCATACCCTAGGAGACCCTTCTCATGCTATTTTGCAAAAATCTCAATTGTTTCAAACCCATATCCGCGCGATAGTAATTAGTTATGCATTTTCACCTCAAGCGATGACATCAAGAAATATTTATGTAAGTTCTAAACATAGACAAACATAAAGATAATACTCCCTCCGTTTCGTTTTATTTGACACCGTTGACTTTTTAGCATATGTTTGACCACTCGTCTTATTCAAAAATTTTAAATAATTATTAATTCTTTTCCTATCATTTGATTGATTGTTAAATATACTTTTATGCATACGTATAGTTTTTCATATTTCACAAAAGTTTTTAAATAAGACGAACGGTCAAACATGTGCTAAAAAGTCAACGTTGTCAAATAAAACGAAACGGAGGAGGGAGTACATCTTTAGATTACACAGTAGCCGACCTGCTAAATATCATAGACTAAAAGCAAAGGAAACGTAATTGATTACCGATACACCCATCTAACCATCCCACGGGCAACCGACTAGGGACGACAGCCCTTATTTAACTAAGAACCATCCTGAAAATCTTCAACACCCATAGCAAAGCACTTATCACTGGGTATTAATTTTATCATCGGCATCAAAGTCAACCAACAACAATAATTACTCTCTCCATCCAATTTTGATCAGCACATAATTAAAACCCAAAACAAAATCAGAAATTGATATGCGTATAAAAATGTGAGGACGGTTTTTGTCGGAGTAGAATCACAGAAGAACACACGTGTACGCTGAAGGAGCTGTTGTGCATGGAACCTTATCAATGTGGCTTATATTCACAATGGAAATTATTTTTATTATCCTTGGTCAAAGTAGACAAACCTTATGCGCAGATCAGATCAGTTGGATGAAGGGAGTGGAAAGTAAGAGTCAGTACTAGGGGCTATCAACGAGCCAAGCTCGAGGAAGCTTCCATATGTAGGCTCAAGCTCGCTACAGACTTGAGTCGAGCTCAAGTCAAGCCCTGGTTTGCTGTGAGCTTGAAGCTGAGCTCAAGCTCGGCTAGTTCGAGCTTCGAGCTCTTCTCAAGCCTGCCTGGTGGTGCAGTGAAATACTATAACAGATTCATCCCATTCACTTGAAAAGTTGACACTGTGATGCATGATTAGATGGGGAAAGTAATGCTAGTGATCCTACGTTAAAGCAAGCCACACACTAGTACCAGTACTAGCCATGCTCTTTTTGGGACATGGAATAACAAATGCATGCTCCCTCCATTAAAAAAAAAAAGACAAACCTTGGTTTCCGTGCCCAACATTTGACCGTCCGTCTTATTTTTGAAAAAAATATAAAAAAATTAAAAAGACAAATCACGCATAAAATATTTATCATGTTTTATCATCTAACAACAATGAAAATACAAATTATAAAAAAATTTCATATAAGACGGACAGTTAAAATTGGACACGGAAACCCAGGGTTTGCCTTTATTTTGGGACGGAGGGAGTATGCCCTTCCGCCCTGCCAGTCCTAGTGCTACTCTGGTAGATATATAATTTGAACGGGCAAATTAAGAGAGAGGAGGGAGGAAAAGCCTGCTAGAAAGAACATGCGCTGGATGCTGAGGCTCGCCCAAGAAATTCGAGCTTGAATCAGGATCATAACGAATCAAACTCAAGTAGCTCGTGAGTCTTGAGCTTTTTTGACAGCTCTACTCGGTACATCTATGTACTGGCAATCTCTTACTATCGAATTATGTCCAACACCAAAAAATAACTTAAATGTAAAATACCATTTTGAGGGAGTAAAATGCAATTTGCATAGTCAATTGCCCTCCCTGGAAGGGTCTTCACTCTTCCCTGTCTATCGGCATGTATATCGATCAAAACGCCTTTCAATCTCCCTGTCATCTGTCAGATTTCAGCAATAGGTCATCACTCTCATCCTTCACTTCCACCACCTCCATGCTATCGGCTTCCACCAGCGCTGACATCATACTATTTGCTTCCATTAGAGCCACCATCGTCATCCGCATCCAACAGCGTCATGTCGCCTCTATGATTTCAACAATTGGTTACTTTTCTTACTACTCCCTCCGATTCATATTATTAGTTAAATTTTTTCAAGTTTGATCAAGTTTATAGGAGAATTTAGCACCCACAATGCCCGGTCACCAATACTCCAATCCACCATCCAGATCTAGGATTCTATGGCTGGGAATCAAGGGAGGGAGAGATGGAAGAGAAGGAAAGAGATGCTTTTCATAATTCCATCTATACTATACACCATTTTCTGGAACTCAATGCTCATTCGTTTACTTCTTTCGGATGCTTCTCACTGGTCAATATGAAATATGTTATACTTGACCAATATCGTCTGAATATCGAGCACCTTGTCTTCATCAGCTTTATTGAGATGGTTAAGCTAGCAGTCAGCAGTGAATTCTCAGATAAAACAACAATTAAGAGCTAAACACCAATAGAAAATCAGAAAGTTCTATACTACTTCATACTTCAGAATGAACTAAAAAAACTTCAAATTTTCAACCAGCAAGCTTAATGCTGACTTGAATGACAATAAAGGGATAACATCTTTAAAAGTTTTGTTGTTATGAAAACAGGGAAATGAATTTCTAGATTAACTTGCAGTACAATCACATCCAAATTCATTAAATAACATCCGCAAGAGTAGTTGGGCTGAATTTAAGATTAAATTAAAATACAGTTAAAACTTAGGACAAATATGAGTGGCACAAATATGAAAAAGAGCTCGAGTTGATCACGTAATTTTACCTTTCTATTTGCCTATAGGACCACAATTCACAAGATTCATACATGCAAAAGTGGCTATGAAAGAGGCCATGCTAGCTAGGTAAATCCTACTCGTAAATGTTAATTTGCAAACACTGAATACCTTGCTTCATCTCCAAGGGAATATCAATGCCACACATTCATATGCATTTTGCACTAAAAAAGGATCTAAAATTCAGAGGCAATGCACCGACACCAACAAAGAATGTTTAAATAAATAGATAAAAAACGAAGTGTTTATAGTAGCACCTTTGCAGCATAAGGATCACATTCACATACATTGGGTTTTGCATAGCAAGCATAGAGTGCATGCACCCAGAAAGAAATATTGAGGGGAACATGAAGAGGCTTCCTTGAGGTATAGATATTGTCCATAGCTGGTGCCTGGAGGACGAGAGGAACTACCAATCTGCAAGGCAAACATATTGGTAAAAAGACAATTTTCCATCAGATATATGATTCTCTAATTTTGATTCAAGCAAATGGATTCTCTAACAATGGACATAAAATTCAATTTGTGTATCACATATGGTTCCCAGAAGATACATAGAATATTTTCTTGAATAAACAACAGATGGCTATGTGGGATAATTTTCTCTATACAAAATAGTTTTTGACCTCTAGGCTCTAATATTACCAATACGTAAAGCATTTTAAAGCACCAAAATAACTGTAAGAGAAATCGCATGTGCATGTGCAGACCTATTTGTGCACAGGAACAAACACCACCTAAAAAGAATCAACAAGTAGCCGACAACGTTCAGTAGGAACTATTTTATACTCCCTCCATCCCAAAATATTTGACGCCGTTGACTTTTTTAAAAATGTTTGACCGTTCGTCTTATTAAAAAAATTTAGTAATTATTAATTCTTTTCCTATCATTTGATTTATTGTTAAATATACTTTTATGTATACATATAGTTTTACACATTTCATAAAAGTTTTTGAATAAGACGAACGGTCAAACATATTTAAAAAAGTCAACGGCGTCAAACATTTAGGAAATGAGGGAGTAATAAACATGAATAGCAAGTCGATCATAAAGTTGAGTGATTCTTTATCTTGGTTATAATCTGAAATTCCGAACTGTGATCTTCTCCCAAACAATATGCTTACGTGTTCACTTTCATTTGGTGGCACTATACTGCTGCAGCAGTTCAGCAAAAATAGGAAGCCTTGGCAAATAGCAATTTCAGAATCACTGCATTATAGCCAATAGCAGTCATCTGATCATGCACACGACACATGACTGGATATTTGCACATATGGTTTATATTGTGATCATGGATTATTTAATTAAAGTAATCAGAAAACAATGGTTTCAAACACATGACTGGAAATTGACTGCAACTTAAGCCCAGTTTTTGCACCAATTAAGCACTACATCCAGCTCAGGACCAGTCAGGACACAATTTACCCAATAAAACTCAAATAATGACATGACACAACCAAATAACAGGAAAAAATGGAAGAATATTTGACTCATAAAACTCAAATAATGCTGGCGCCTCGTAAGATAAAAATACCGTAACTCTAATCAAGTCCCATGTCACTTTTTTATCTGTGTACAAGTTACTCATTTCAATTTATCTGTTTGAGATCAGTCACAGATCAAGCATAAAAAAATACTTACTTTGCTGGATTCAAGGGCCATTGGAGCATTTCCTAAAACAAGATATGTGTAAGTGCAACTCGATCTGTCAATTAACCTGACATAAAGAACTGAAAAGGTTACTTGGAATTTTTAAAGAACATAAGCAAGAAATTCGAAGCCTAATTATAACATTATATATAAGGCAGATTTTGCTCTAAAACATAACAAATATCAGAACATTGCAGCTTGCAACTATCTGTAGCCAAATCCCTGTAACGTAAAAATAAATAGCAGTCTAGGAGTGTTTCTTTCAACCACCTGAGCTGAAGTCATCGTAAGTGAGCATAATCAAGAGATTAGAGGGTTGGATAAGGACCAATGTCTAACACAAATCAGTGGTGCCGCACTGCCACCACCAAACCAATCTGCTGAACATTATCACCAATAAAAAAGTTCAGGAGCAAGAATTGGAATCGAATTACCAGCCTGATCCATTGTATGAACCACGATATGTTATGATGTTGTTACTGCTACAGCAAAGCAAGATTATAGGGAGTGCGAGACACGTCGGCCTCGGGCGCTCCGGAGACCAGTGACGGCCTGAATGGTTTGTGGAGCACCATCGTCGGCGAGTCGCGGGTGAGGGAGAGCCGACGGCGGGGCAGATGCCACTGGTGGTCGCAGGGAGGCAGAGAGGCCGACGGCGCTCCGCTGTTTTTGTGGATCAGGATTCAGGAGCAGGTGGGGACCGCGATAATAGGGAGGATATACGCAGGGCAACCGTCAGTGGTGGAGAAGCAGCAGCGGACGACGTCGTCTCGACTCGGGATCGGCAGCGCCCGCGCCCGTGCTGACGCCTGCAACGACGACGATGCATGGTGCTTGAGGCGGTGGATTGAACGGCGCGGTGTCAATCTGGCTGCGAAGGGGGCGAGGAGGCGACGCCGTCTCGACTGGGGAGGGAGGCGGTGTGGTGGATGCAGGCGAGCAGGGGCGACGGGGCGGCTGCGACGATGGGGAGGCGGTGCGGCATGGAGGAGAAAGGGATTGGGAGTGCCGGGGAGGACGGCAGCGACGGTGGGGAAGGAGGAAAGGGGGAGAGAACGGATCGGGGATGCGGGCGGTTGAGGGGGTTGCGGTGGCGTGGATCAGGGGGTTGAGGGTAGGGGAGAGGAGAGAGCGATCGAGATTCGAGGGAGACGCGTGCGCTGGATGCGTAGGAAGAGAAAGGCGATCTGAGCCGTTCGATTAGGCGATCCGACTTTCTATATTTCGCGTATCTGTCAAGGTTGGAGTCACCGTCACCACTACGGAACTTTTAAGTAGCAGAGATATATCATCTTGATAAATGGATCTAGACTTGTTGACGCGAAAAACATACACTGGCCTGGGAGATCTGCTTAGCTCCAGTGCAGAACCAAAGGTTAGTGAGATGCGGGCGTGCCAATCAGTTTGACCCTGCAACTGACAAGATATACAAATAATAGATCAATGAGCCGATCGGCTGACAAGCCGATGGAGTAGTTCCAGCCGATGCCGATAATAGCCAATAACGATTGGATTTAAGCAATCGGCTATATGTCCAATATAGATAATGATATAAAGGCAATCGGCTGATGATGATGTAATAAAATAACAATATAATCTAGTATAAACCAATCGGCTAGCAATACAATATGATAGAATAAGCATTGATCCGAAGGTTAAAGCATACATCGGCTGGAGGTCCGATGTCATAGAATCCAAACGATTAGATAAACAGTGAAACCTTTGTTGTAATCGGCTAAATCCAACTTGTATGTAATCCTTATAAGCCGATGCAACGTCCAGATAACTTATCGGCTAGCACCCCGATAAAACACTAGCGTGAACCTATCGGCTCAACAAGATTTATATTATCAACAACAATCTAGTAGGTCGAACCTAACCGATACAGCACGAGATTGTATATGATAATCTAATGCTTGATGAGCTAGATCTGTCTAATGTGATGGATATAACAAATCTATTTAGAACAACATTGTGATTGCAGAGATATATCGGCTAAGACAGAAGATCAGACCTAACCGAGACAGTCCCAACTAAACCGATGCGTCTCTAAACACAATGCAATTAGAGATAGAATTGAGATATCAGGTAGGCAAATATATCAACCAAACCAGAGCGATCCAAGAGATCGAAGCAATGCAGCCTTGAACAACACCAATATAGCCAATAGATTCACCAGGGCCGGTGGAACGTAGGACTTACTCCTTCGCCAGAGATCGAACTGAACCAATGCAGCCTCATGTCAGGTGCCAAATTCCACCGGAAGATAAGTAAAAAACCTCGGTAAAGAGGGTGGCGATGCGCCGAGAGTAGTTGTATTGATCAAGAGAGATAATTTACAATGACCCCGGGTGCACATATTTATACCCATGGGTAGATACTAGTCTTTGTAGGACAAGAAAGAAACTGTCCTAAAGATAAAAGGAAAACATAAAGTCCTTATAGGACACTAAACACACTTTCCTTAAGATAAAAGGAAACTAACAAACTACTCCAAATTAATAGATATATTTGCCATGCCGCATCCTCCTTGAACTCGGACTCTTCTGGATAAATTTCCTCTAATTGATCCCACTCCACCAAGAATACAACTGCTGGCGATTTGACGACTCCCATCGGCTGATTCCAAGACTCTAAAGCCGATACTGACTCTAGGCCGATGATGACTTTGGGCTTACCAAATTCTGGCGTTAACAAGACTGTTCGATTAGGATCCAACGTGTCGCGACCGAGAAAATTTACATTTTCCCGAACGCTAGTGTATTAATCCCCGTCCCAGGAAAAGCCAGGGTACACCACACAAACATGATATAAAAGACACATCTTTATTATATCAATAATATTTCCATTATTACAAAGACACTTCAGGCCTGACAAACAAAAGTAAACAGCAGCGGACTAGCGGGCCTACGGTTCCATCTTCACAGGCGCTCAACTGGGGCATAAGCCAGGACTCCACCTAGGACTTCTTCTCTAAAGCTTCTCTTACTGAAGGGGGGAGAGATAGAGCAAGAATGAGTACAACCACAGTACTCAGCAAGCCACACCGGGAGATGCATGATTAATGCAAGGGGTACAAGGGGCTAATAATAGGGGTTAGGTTTTGCAGTAAACAACATTTAAAAGTCACTTAGTTGCCCAAAGCTATTTTGCAAACACGATCCTAGAGCTACACAATATTATTAATCAAGGCCGTGAACCCACACGAACCTGCCTTAACCCAAGGCCTACGATGATTCAGACCGAACTGGCAACCCGACCTGGGTCCCAGCTCATCCCAAGCCAACTCAGGCCAATCATTCCACATTTTAGTTGTTAAGCAAGTTTTAAGAAGCAAACTTCTAACTTTGGTACATTGCTAGGCATGCCCATAACCGAGGGCACAGCTATTCGAATAGATTATAATCTGATCAGAGGTGTACATCTTTACCCTCTAGACACATCTTTACTCTGCATTCCACGGCCGTGGAACCCATCGTAAAGGATGTGACATAACCCCTTTACCCATCCTAGCCGTGACAAAAGCACCGACCCAACCTCGCCTATGGCCGAAATCCCGAGACAGGTAGGTAAGATTGAGCCCCTAGCAGCAGGACACCGGCCCTGTGCCATGACATCTCGACTACCGAGCCGCAGCTCGTGTAGCCTTCATTTGCCCTAGAGATGTCCATCGAGCCCCGACTTCGTCCATCTCCATCCGTGTACTCTTGCCAGGACTAGACTGAGCACCGGGTTAAGCCTTACCCATTAGACATGTGGTTAGTACAGTAGTGCTTTGCAACAGAGGCTCGAAGACCGGTCCTTATAGTGGCCGAGGTGCTACTAGCAGAACCATGCACCTTGAGCCCAGCCTAAAACCATTTTAGGGGTTTTGAATAGAGGGGGAGGTGTGTGTCCAATTCCAACATAAGCCAACCATTCCATACTGTCCAAATGATATAAGAATTCCCAAAGTCTAAAGTTATAAAACCACCTAGTGTTGCCTAATTAATCAGCGAAGCATCTACCTAAATTCATACTAGTGGAACCGTTAATAGAGTACCCACTAGTTGGGGTTTTGTTTATCCTAGGGTGAACAAGATAATAATAACAATAGCAATAATAATAAGGTCATAACAAAGGTAAATAGGCATGGCTAAATAAAACAGTGATAACGCGGGAATTTAAGTAAAGCGGTAATGCAATAATTTAAATCAAAATAATTTTATAAACTGGGATTCAATATGCTCAAGGGTGATGCGACTTGCGTTGCTCAGAGAGAACGGCACTCCGAACCTTCGGCGACGACCGCGAAGCATGCTTCGGAAACCTCCGGAATGACAGAAGCTACGCGAAGCACACAAGCAAAACTACAAGCCTAAAAAGAAGTAATAACAATACATAAAAAGAAAGCACACGGTTCTTTAGGTTATGACAAACATTAAGAGACTTGAATGGGTCGATTAGGAGTTCGTATGACCAAGATATGATCATCCAAAGTTTAATGCTGTTATATGAAGATTTACGGATTATTATGATTAGGTTTTGCAACTATAAAACATGTGCAAGCGCTAGCCTGGAAAAGACAGGAAGGCTGCGCTATTGACATGCGGACCCAACATGTCAACCTAATGGACCACGGTAGACCGAATACATAGAGACGGTCCACGGGTCGACGGAAGCAGACCCCGTGTGTCAACCAAGGCGAGTGGCCGACAAACGGACTCCACTAGACACCACGCGGGCTGCACACGTGGAAACCACGCGGCTACCGAGTGGGCACACAAACACGGTCACCACACGCACCCACGAACGACTACCGACACCGGTACACGGGTACCAGGGTCGACAACCACACAATGGGCACGGGGCGACACCGAAAGGACGAGGACGGGGGCAGCGAAAGGACGGACCCTTACCACCACGCGACGACACGTGGGAACGAGGACGGCGAACGGGCGGCGGAGACGGCTCGGGGACGACGGAGACGAACGGCGAGGGAACGACTTCGGCGGCGATCCTTGGACGAAGGCGAGACGCGGTCGATGCAACGCTTGACGATGCAGAGCCGAGGACGAAGACGACGACGGGGCTGCAGCAACCTTGACGAAAGGCGGGCGACGAACAGCACGGCTTGACGGAGAGACGAACACCACGACTACCGGGAACGATGGGAGGACGACGATGGGAACCGGCGAGGAGGCGACGACGAACGCCGGCGGATTCAACTGAAGGGGAGGCGAAGCCAAGGACGACGTTGCTGGCTCGCCGCTGTGATGCCGAAGGTGGTGGTTGCGCGGCCAACGGCGCACGAGTGGAGGAAGGGCCGACCGGGGAAATTCCGGCGAGGCTGATGGAGAGGCCGGCGCGGCACGGCGGTGTTCTGGCGAAATACGGGCGACGCCGTGGCCTGGCCGGGCAAGAGGACGGCTTTCCGGTGCCGGGAGAGGTGGTGGCGACGTCGGCCGGTGCACAAGAGACGCGGCAGAGGCGGCCGGAGGCGGAACAGTGGCGGCAACGCCACTGTTGCCGGCGGGGATGCACTTCCGGAGGTCTCCACGGGAAACGGAGGGCAGGCCGGCGTAGAGGAGGCACCTGCGAGGCCGAGGAAGATGGTGGCGCGGCCAGCCGACGCACTGGCGCGGCGGCACGGGCGGCTGGAAGTGGCCGGCGGCATGGGAGGGAGAAGGAGGACGGCGGGGAGAAGTGGTGCGGCCGTGGGGGAGCTCGGGAAGAGGCAAAACGGGGACAGGAGAGGGAGGAGATCCCGTTTTATAGGTCACAGAGGGGAGCAGGCCATGGCAAGGGCGGGGACGGCGCCGGGAATCCGGCCGGCGGCCATGAATGCCGGTCAAGGGAGGGAATAAATCCCCGGCAATTGGGGACAGGATTCAAGGGGAAAAATTAGGGGAATTGAAGAGGGAGTAATGGGGTTTCCATTCCCCTAATTTAATTTGAATGTAGGCATTGGATTGAGGCGGATTTGGGGGGAGGAAGGAGCTATGTTTGCACGGGAGAGAGAGAGAGGAAGGAGGCCGGGCGGCTGGAGGTTGACGACGACCGGGGGTGGGACCCACGCG